AAAGGAGGAGGTGTCACCTTAGTTATATCTCCATGATACCAGTGACTGCTTTTTTTTTTTTAATAGTACACAGTAGTCCATAGAATTTCTCTAAGAAGTGATAGGTCAAAAGAACTTTCAACAAACTTTCTTGGTGCTGAGTTAGGGGAAACAGGAATTAAACATAATAAGAAACTGAGTTGTCAGACTCATTTTAAGACTTAAAACAACTTCATTTGACAGAAAGCTTCACAGAAGGTAATCATAGGATCCCAGGATTTACATTACTTACTTTTTGACTGATTGCAGTACACACGTTTACACTCTGTCCTTTACTAGAAAATTCCAGTGGTCCTAAGGGTATTCCACTTGGGTTCAGAATTTTCTTGAGCATTTTATAGTTTGGCTTTTCATCATAGGCTAAACTATGAACATGTTCCAAAAATTGGGCTATTTCACCTGTGAAGTATTAAGTTTTTTACATGTCATTCATAATTGGCAAGAATTATCAAGACTCTAATCTCAAAATCTTCTATTCTGTCTCTTACACACACATACATGCATGCGTGTGCGCACACTCACATCCTGAAGAAGCTAAAGATGAGCAATTCAACAAAAAGCACTTTTTAAATGATTTTCAAAAATGACTGAAATACAGTGACCTACAGGTTTGACAAGATGGGACAACATTATTTTTTACATATCTTTGCTGATATGTATACAATTCACTTATGGGAAGAAGTAAATTTTAATAATTATAGTTATTAATCTCGATTTATGAGATGCAGCTACTACTAAGGACTGCATAAATAACAATAATAGATCAGACATGCCTCATGCCTTTTTTTATGTTGAATTTTTAAAAATTCAGTTAAAATAAGTGTTACTTATTATAAGCCTCCTTACTTCAAAGGAAAAAAAATCATTGCACATTTTAATTAAGGCTTTGACTTTGGGATTGTAACAGTATATTTAGAAATGACCTTAAATTTCATATCTTAGCTGTGATTGATTTTGGAATGCAGCTAACCTCCCTCAAGCCCTCCATACTTAGCTAGCCCGGTGCATTCACAGCAGTATTTTTGACTTTAGAGCAGTAAAAAGAAGACTTGCTACCTTTTATTTTTTTCTCTAACATAAAATAATGTTTCACTAGAACTACATAGTAAACCTCCCCCTCCCAAAAAATGTTCAAACTACCAACTTTTCTTTCTCTTTTTTTGGCAGCTGGCCAGTACAGGCATCCAAACCTTGACCTTGGTGCTACAAT